AAGAATTGTAAAAGCTGAATAGCCAGCTGTAATACATTTGCAGCTGGTTCCATGACACAGAATGGTGAACTGTTGTTGTTAAAGAAACAAAACCCCACAATTGACCAGCTGCTACAAAGCTCTAGTGACTTACAATAAAGATCAAATATCAACCAATCAGAACTGCCTCATTTGCATGACAGGAACCCAGATGTAAAATAGAACTCCTAAAACTCACCCTAACCAAAAGAGAGGATCAGACTCCACTGGGAAGAACCTCCAGGTTACCTTTTCTTTTCAGAGAGTAGACATTCTTTTCTGCTGTTGTGCCCGGTATGTCCCTCACAACATGTCTTTAGAAAAACTACTTTTTAAAAATTTTTTCAATAGGAGTCTCACTCTGTCGCCCAGACTGGAGTGCAGTGGCCGCTCCCTCGACCTGCTGGGCTTCGGCGATCCTTCCGCCTCAGCCTTCCCAGTAGCCGGAATTGTACGTGCTACCACGCCTGGCTGTTTTTTTTTTTTTTTTTTTAAATAGTAGACAGGCTGTCTGGCCAAGTTGCCCAGGTAGGTCTTGAACCTGCGGGCTCAGGAGTAAAACTACTTTTTAAAACTCTTAACTGTCTTGGTGAGTACTTTCACCCCTGCAAATCTGGTCTACCTAGCTTGCCACACATAGCGATTTTTGTTTCACTTTGCATAGTTTCTAATATGAAAGTTTTCTTTATTGTGCCTCTGTATCTGCATTTTGCCTTCCTATCCTTCCTTGGCTGCTTTAAGGATTTTCTCTTTATAACCACTTTTCACCAATGTTGTCATAATGTGTCCTGGTGTAATTCTCTTTATGTTTGTCTTGCTTGGGCTTCATATATATATTTTTTGTTGCCTACGCCCATCCCCTTTCTGGGGGTGCAGTTATATATATACAGAGAAAAGAAAAGCAACTCAGAACTGTCTGACCTATGCAAGGTATACAAAATTGATAGGGCCCAGAGACATATGACCGTGGAACTTCAATCATTCCAACATGCACTAAGACAATTGTTTAAAGTCATTTTGTTTCTAACTAGCTGCCTCACGTATTATCTTTATGTTCCTAGAATTTGTGATACAAATCAAATATATAGCCAATAAATAGTTAATGTTCTTTTAATGTAAATTCTTGGTAAACAACTCAGGAACAGCCTCTTCTTTTCCTTTAAAAATCCACTTATAGCCGGGCTCGGTGGCTCAGCCTGTAATCCCGCGCCTTTGGGAGACTGAGGTGAGTGGATTGCCTGAGCCTGCGGGTTCGCGACCCGCCTGGGCAGCGAGACCTCATCTCTACAATAAATCAAAAAATCAGCCAGGCGTGGTAGCGCATGCCTGTAATTCCGGCTACTTGGAAGGCGGAGGCAGAAGGATCGCTGGAGCCCAGCAGGTCGAGGCTGCGGTGGCCAGGAGCGGCCACTGCACTCCAGTCTGGACGACAGAGTGAGACTCCAACTCAAAAAAAAAAAAAAAAAAATCCACTTATAATTGTTGTTATTCCTCAGACTTGTCTCAGCTTCTTCCTTTCAGGCTTACAAAGCCCACTCAAAACTAAAGTTCTTGGTTACTATTTCCTGCATGTTTCTCTTTCTTCACCTTTTAGTTGTTCAAACAGAGTCTAAAGTCAGAAAAGTTATTTAAGTAAGGGTCTCACTCTGTTGCCCAGGTTGAAGTGCAGTGCCACATTCACGGCCAACGCAGGCTGAAGTGCAATGGCACACTAATGGCCACCGCAGCCTCGACTTGCTAGGCTCAGGTGATTCTTCTGCCTCAGCACAGCATTTCAAGTAGCCAGAACCACAGGCGTGCACCACCATACCCAGCTAATTTTTTGATTTATTGTAGAGACAAAGTCTTACCGAGTTGCCCAGGATCAACTTGCCCAGGCTGATCTCGAATTTCTGGGCTCAGGCAATCCTCTCACCTCCGCCTCCCAAAGTGCCAGAAAGGATATTCTTTAACAGTGTCTTATAATCCACTTTCCCTAGAGAGACTTCCTGGACTTTCTGAGCACACTTATTCAACATTGACTTCATGGACAAGAGTTTCACTATTCATTAGATTCTTTTTTTCTTGATCTTTTTCTTTAAAGAAACAAAGTCAAAAGAGTTGTTCTTTGGGGTAGAATCTGAGACTGGGGTATGGTTAGTTAGAAAGGGCCTATCATATAATATTGTTATTGGAATTATGCCCTATTTTAATTGTCTCTTTAACAAAGGGAATAATCTAGAATGAGCCATACTTGAGTCAAATATATATATATATTTGAGTCGGAGTCTCACCGTGTCACCTAAGCTGGAGTGCAGTAGCACAATTGCAGCCACCACAGTCTTCACCTGCAGAGCTCAGGTGATTCTTCCACCTCAGCCTTCCAAGTAACTGGAACTACAGGTGTGCATAACCACGATCAACTAATTTTTTGATTTATTGTAGAGATGAAGTCTCACCATATTACCCAGGCTGGTCTGGATCCCCTGGGTTCAGGCAATCCTCTTGCCTTCACATCCCAAAGTGCTGGGATTACAGGCATGGACCACCCCACTCGGCCTCAATTATGATTTGTTACTACGTGTTTACTTAACTTCCAAAGTGGTGAATCTTCTAAGTGTAGATTCAGGGTAACAGGAATCTATGTAATTCTGAGTAGCAATCCTCAAGCTTGGCCAAAATAAACTCTCTACTTATATTAATTTTGTCTCTGTTGCTTCCTTTTAGTTTCACTATTTTAAAACTCTTTATAGTAGGGGTGTTAAAAATGCATACACATTTTAAGAGATGTTATCTATGTATTACTTTTAGTTCTCCATATTCAGGAGTGTCTGGACACTGATGGTAACCACTGTGAGCACCTCTTGTAGTTGCAGAAGTCAAACGTGACTTGTATTCATTTTTTGCTATTGGTATATATAGAGTATTACAATTTTAATACAGTTTTTTCCTTTCTTAGAGTGTATATACATTTTTGGCACCCTCTATGTTGTCTCATAGGTTGCTGAGGCTCTATAAACTGTTCGTTAGTCTTTTTTCTGTGTGTGTGTTATTTTGCATTGTTTCTGTTGCTATGTCTTCACATAATTATTTTTTCCTGCAATGCCTAATGTGCTATCAATCCCATCCAGATACATTTTAATTTTATGTTCACCTCCAGAAATTCTAATTGCTTTAAAAAAAAAACTTCCCAATTTCTCTCCTATCATGTTTTCCTTTAAATCTTTGAGCATATTAATAATAGGTATTGGCTGGGCTTGGTGGCTCAGCCTGTAATCCCAGCGCTTTAGGAGGCCGAGGTGAGTGGATTGCCTGAGCTCGCGGGTTCAAGACCCGCCCGGGCAACTTGACAAGACCTCATCTCTACAATACATAAAAAAAAAAATCAGCTGGGTGTGGTAGCGCCTGCCTGTAATTCCGGCTACTCGGAAGGCTGAGGCGGAAGGATCGCCGGAGCCCAGCAGATCGAGGCTGTAGTGGCCGGTAGCGGCCACTGCACTTTAGTTTGGGTGACAGAGTGAGACTCCAACTGAAAAAAAAAAAAAAAAAAGGTATTTAAAGTCTTTGTCACCAGGCGTGGTGTCTCATGCTTATAATCCCAGCATTTTGGGGGGCCAAGGTGAGAGGATTGCTTGAGCCCTCTGGTTGGAGACCAGCCTGGGCAACTTGGTGAGATCTCATCTCTACAATTAAAAAAAATTAAAAAAAAAATTAGCCGGGCGTGGTAGCGTGCGCCTGTAGTTCTAGCTACTTGGGAGACTGAGGCTGAAGGATCACCTGAGCCCAGCAGGTCGAGGATGTGGTGGTCCGGAGTGTGCCAGTTCCCTCCAGCCTGGGTGACAGAGTGAGATTCCAACTAAAAAAAAAAAAAACACACACACACAAAATAAAGTCCTTGTCTGTTTATTCCATGATTGTTATCATTTTGGGGTATTTTTCTGTTGACTATAAGAAATTTTCCTGTCGCTTGGCATGTCTTTTAATTTTTTATTGGATACCTGACATTTTGAATTTTATATCATTGAATCTTGGATTTTACTGTAGTCTTTTAGAGAGTATTAGACTTTGTTCTAGCAGGCAGTTTGGTTACTTACTGAGCAGCTTGGTCCTTTCAGGACTTGTTTTTAAGCTTTTGAAGGGTCTACAACAGCTTTTCCTCTGGGCCCTACAGTCTAGGCCTAGTTGACCTCGCTACTATTGCATGACACTTCTGGGGTCTCTACAGTATGTACTGCGTGTATTCAACAAAGTCTCCCCACTCTGGTTACTGGGAACTCAAAGGCCTCCCAGTGTGAGCTCTGATTGTTGTTTGGCTTACTGCTCCCCAATAACTATTCTTTTCTGGCCTTGTGGAGCCTCACATGATTTTTAATCAAAGGTACTCCCAAGCAGATTTCCGAAGACCCTTTTCCATGTAATTCCCTCCTCTCCAGAACCCTGTCCCACAAATTCCAACCAACTTGACCTCCTCCATTTCCCTAACCTCCAATCCCCATCTTTCTCAGTTCAGTAAGACCCTTGATATCTGAGTGTCCTTTCCCTACACCATCGACTGGACATTGCCTCTAGGCAGAAAGCCAGGGTGGTAGAGGACTCTTTCTGTTTCTTTTCTCTCAGGTAAAACAGTCCAGAGCTGCCTGTAGTCAATGTCTGAAAAGAGTTGCCTCGTATATTTTGTTCAGTTTTCTAATTGTGTATAGAGGGACAATAAGCCAGACCCATTTTCTCTTTGCCCTGAAGGGAAAGTCATATGGAAAATGTAAATTGTTTTATACACTTTGTTATGGTTGAAATGTTTCTTTCGTTTGGTTGAGTGTGTCGTTCTTCATGATACACTCTCTTTTTTTTTTGCTTTCCTTCTCAAGAAACACTGGTGGTTATTTATCCGGTGATCATTTATTCTGGCGATACCCTCTAGTGACAACACTAGACCCTCGGGTTGCTTCAACCCCGCCACCCCGGCGCAGGCGCGTTCACGCCACGCCCCTTTCCTCCCGCGCGCGCCTCCCTCTCCAGCTTCCTCCCTGCCGCTGGGGGGGGAGCCGCACTCGCGTTCCGCGCGCGCTGGCTCACTGCGCCTGCGCGGCGCGTGGACGCCGCACGTTCCCGGAAGTAGGAGGTGGCCGCCGGAGTTTGTGTGGCCGCCGCCGCGGGAACGCGAGCCCAGTCATTTTTCAACCGAGAAAGGCGAGGTTTTTTGGGCACGGCAGAGTGAGAGCCAGCGAGTGTCCGACTCCGACAGCTGTCTTCTGACGTGACAGCCGGCATGGAGGAGCCTCAGGGCAAAGAGCCTGGCGGCGAGGCCGTGACTCTCGCGCAGCCGGAGTCGCCGCGGCCAGAATGTGAGGAGGCATCGCAGCATCCCAAGCTCGAGGTGAGGAGGCGGCCCGCGCCTGCCGCTCCGGACCCCCCGCGCGCCTCTCACGCCCCTTTCTTCTAGGAGTTCCACAGAAACTGCAGCGTTGGCCGCCGTCCCCTGCTCACGAACCTTAACTTGGGGGGTTGTCGTGGAGCCCCTCAGGGCCGAGTTAGTAGTCAAGACGAGTAGTTCTGAGAACTGTGTTTTTGTAGGTTCTTAGTGGGAATTCTGCTCGAGACGTTCTGTGTTCACTGTGCTATTGTTATTCCGTCTAGCCCTCATCGGTATTTGTTTTTAATCGCACCGCATATCTGTCACTTTTGCGATTTTTATTATTTTTATTGTAGAGATGGATCTCGTTATGTTGCCGAGGTTAGTCTTGAACTCCTGGCCTTAAGCTATCCCGCGCCCGGCCACGGTGTGTCACTTCTTAAGATTTTTTTTTAATTAAAAAAGCCTACCTCATTCCTCTCTATATACCTGGTAGCTGGAGCTTCGTCTCTTTGATTTTTGCCCATTTACTGCCATCTCATATAAACAGGTTTTGATTGATCTTAATAATTTTGGCATCTCATTGGTAGAGACTGGTCACAGTGGCAAAGTTGTAAAACTGTCTTAAAACTTCCTAATTCGTTCTATTTAACGAGTATTATTGCCGACCAGCGTTGTGGGTTTTAAATAATGGAACACTAAAATTGGTCTTTTTCTAGTAAATAGCAAACAAATGTTGAGCATCTCATAATGTGAGTATTTGCAAGAGGTTTCCAAGCTCTTACTTATTCCATCTGCAATAATTTTCCACCTAGCAGTGAAATAATCTCTCATTTTTTTTAAACGAGTCTCACTCGACCTGCTGGTCTCAGGCGATCCTTCTGCTTCAGACTTCCAAGTAGCTGGAACCTCCAGGCTTACGCCACCATGCCCAGCTAATTTTTTGATTTATTGTAGAGACGAAGTCTCACCATGTTGCCCAGGCTGGTCTTGATCCCTGGGCTCAGGCAATCCTCTCCCCTTGGCTTCCCAAAATGCTGGGATTATAGGTGTGAGCTACTGCGCCCAGCCTAAAATAATCTCTTAATAACAGGAATTTGTAGTACTCCCTTCCTTAGGGCCTTCGATTTGCAGCTCTGCATGATCTGACTCCTGTCTCTCTTGCTAATTTCATCTCACACGGTTTTTCCCTTTTGTTCTCAGTGTCCCTCTCTTGTGTTCTTTTACAGTGGAAGAAGTGTCTTTCTCATTAAGGGTGTTTGTATGTTCCCTTTGCTTTGCATACTCTTCCTCTGGATCTTTGCATAGTTATCTCATCCTTCTTAAATTGTAACTTTCAAAGAAGCCTTCTACATCCCCTCTCTATAAAAAATCACTCTTCCACCTCACCTTCCTTTTCAGTCTGAGCATCATGTAATTTGAAAACAATTTAAAACTGGGCGCCGTGGCCCATGTCTGTAATCCCAGCTCTTTGGGAGGCAGAAGCTAGAGGATTGCCTGAACTCAGAAGTTTGAGACCAGCCAAGCAACAGGCGAGACCTCATCTCTACAATAAATTAAAAAATTAGCTGGGCGTGGTGGTGTGCGCCTGTAGTTCCAGCTACTTGGAAGGCTGAAGCAGAAGGATCCTCTGAGCCCAGCAGGTGGAGGCTGTGGTGGCTGTGAGCATGCCACTGCACTCCAGCCTGGGTGACAGAGTGAGACTCTAACTCAAAAAAAAAAAAAAAAAAAAATTTAAAGGTTTATTTTTAGTAAGAGAAGTGAGTTTGAATATATTTCATTATATTTGAATGTCTTGACACTGATACAGCTTCTTGAGGCCTGAGTTTTTGTTACAAATTGATTTTAGTGACTGTCACATTTGTTTAAAAACTTTGTTGTTTGCTCTTGATAACGATAGTTGTTTTTTCAATCTCAACCAAAGTTTTTTGTTGGAATTCAACTAGTTAACTAGTAGAAACTGTTGCATTTTTGTATTTTTAACAAGTAGATTCAAATTTCATCAGAACCCTTTTAAGTTTTTTTCAGTGTGCATATGCCGAGGTTTTTCTTTTCTTTTCAGAATAGCTAACACTTTTTTGGGCAACAAAATAATGGAAACATTTCCAAAACTTCTGTTTTCAAAATGTTCTCCACACAGAAAAAGTTGACAGTTACTTTTTTTAGAGACAGAGTCTCACTTTGTCACCCAAGCTGATGTGCAGTGATGTGATCATAGTTCACTGCAGCCTTGAACTCCTGGGCTCTGGTGATTCTCCTGCCTCAGCCTCTTGAGCAGCTGGGACTATGGCTTTTTTTTTTACTTTTTTTTGTAGAGACAAGGGTTTGCTATGTTGCCTAGGCTGTTCTTGAACTCGTAACCTTAAGGGATCCCATTGCCTTGGTCTCTCTAAGTGCTGCCTAGCTCATTGTTAAAACATAGTTTTTTTCCATCTTGAAACAGCAAACTATTCAGTTTTTAAAAATTTTATGGATTAAGCTACAATCCCCCTCTCAATAAGAAAAAGGCAGCAGATTTGGAATATCCGTCTTTTTGTAAGAGAAAATATATTTAAATTCTTTACTTAAGAATTTCAACACTTTAAAGTGTCTTTGCCACAAGATAGTTAGCAGACCTCTATTTGATATAAAAGAGTGTTGTGGTCACTTCCTATAATGTAAAATATTCCCTTGTTTGGGTTAATATAAACCATACATCCACTTAATTGGTCACATGAAAGTTGCAAAATGTCACAGTTCTGTGAAGGTGGTTATTCCTTTCTGGACTGTGGAATCCATCACTTTTCTTGTTATATGATCAGTACTGTGTGTGGCATAAGACAGATGGACATAGCGACTAGAGCAGACGCTAGTGCCAACCTGTATACGAATTTAGTAAACTAATTTTGTGTTTTTGCGGATTAATAATATGTGTAGGGTTTCACATAATTTATTTCTGTTCCTTAGTGGATTATTTTGAGCATCCTTCTCTGGGAGCCTTTAGTATATACCTGAGATTTGGGAGGAGACATTAATCACTGAGAACTGGACCTAGGTTCTGCTCAAAACTTTTGTGTGTGTGTGTTGCAGTCTCACTCTGTTGCCCAGACTCAAGTGCAGTGGCACGGTCACCACAGCCTCGACCTGCTGGGCTTAGGTGATCATTTTGCCTCAGCCTTCCAAGTAGCTGGAACTACAGGTGCACACTTCCATGCCTGGCTAATATTTTGATTTATTGTAGAGATGAGATCTCGCCAAGTTGCCTAGGCTGGTCTCGAACCCCTGAGCTCAGGCAGTCTTCTCGCCTCAGCCTCCCAAAGTGCTGGGATTATAGGCTTGAGCCGCCATGCTTGGCCTTGTACCCAAAACTTAACACATTCGCAACCAGCAAATTTTTCACTTCCCTAATACTGATTGCAGGTGAAAATTTTAAAAAACTGAAGCTGGTAGCCACAGACTTCTGTCGTTAAGCACAAATGAAATGGTCTTTTCTAAATTGTCACCTTTTCCACAATACAGCAGAAAGTTGCAGACATAGCCGTTATTTGCCTCAAACACCACTCTAGCAGTTGGTGCTTTGTATTTTTATTCGAATTATAAACCCAAAAAGAAGGACCGGGCTCAGTGGCTCAGCCTGTAATCTCAGCGCTTTGGGAGGCCGAGGTGAGTGGATGCCTGAGCCCACGGGTTCAAG